CTGCGGCCCGCCAACACCAGCTGGCAGCCCCACGTCTACATGGCCGCCGTGCTCAACCTCACCGCCCCCACCGCCTTCCTGCTGGGCGATGGGGCCCACGGGCAGGACTACCACAACGCTGCCCTCCAGCCGGGCTCGGACTACACGGCCCTTCTCCGCCTCGTCCGCCGCTCTCAGCAGGTACCCGTTGAGGGAGCTCCTGCTCCCCAGAGACACTTCCAGCCGGGATGGGCCCCTCAGCAGGAGCACCAGTGCTGCTCGTGTCCCGGGCTGCCCAGCCACAGCCTGGGCATTCAGTGGCTGTGGTTGGGAGGCCTTTGCCCCCAGGGTGGGCAGCTGGGCAGGAGTGGCCTGAGCTCTCCCTCCCTCTCCTTGGACAGGCAGAGAAGTTCACCTGCGTGTGCTACAGCTTCTCTTTTGGTAAGTGGGCTCCTTGCTCCCTGTGCCTGAGGGTCTCTCCCACATGTTCCCATTTCCCTGCCTGGCCTCTTCCCATGGAGAGAAGCTGGCTGAGCACAGGCACAGAGGCGTCTGTCCTAATTCCGTCTTTGTAGAAGTTGTCTGGATCTTGAGGCTAAATCTGGTAGATGGGCTTTGGGCAACCCTGGGCCACTTGTACAGCTGGTAATGATGGCAGCTGGGCACTGTGCATCATCCTTGCCGTCATCGTGTACAGCACCTCAGTCCCAGTGCTCTCTGGGACATGTGCACCCCCAGAAATGTAAACACTTCATGAGGCTCTGGCTGTGCCTGGAGCAGCCAGGGACGCAAGGCCCACACTGATGGGTATCACACCATGCAAGCACCTACTCTTTCTGCACCAGCTTAGCTATTCTCCAACGCAAAGCCTGTGGTGGGAGATGAGGGTCGCTGCTTTTCACCCCATGCCACTGTGACATCTCCCTGTGCCTGGTTCAGGCTGAGCGGGCGCCTGAGTCTGGGCTGTGCCAGCTGCAGGGCAGGAGACGCCTCTGATGAGCCGGATGAACATGGTTGTGGTGGTAGTGCTGGTCCTTACACTCCTGGCGCTGGGGATTTTGCTGCTCCTTGTGCTCTTCAGGTCAGTATGTGACTCACTTTTCAAGTGCTCTGTGAGGCATCCAGCACCCTGCAGTGCCAGGTAGTGCCCAAGAGCACCCTGACACAAAGCAAGGGCAGGGCTGTGACATGGAGAACAGCCTCTCCTCTGCCTCTCTTCTGCTGGACTACGGGCCTGACTTGCTCTTTTTCAGGAGAAAGTACAACAGTTCAAAATCCTCGGAGAACAGCAGCACTATCCCCTTACAAGGATGTCAAAGAGGTGCAGTATGAGCAGAAGGCCTGCATGCCTTGTCTGGACAGGGTGCTTACAGGGTCTGTAAGGTCCTTACAGGTACAAGGGGATCAGATCTGGCTGGCATGGGGAAAGGGACAGCTCCCGGGAGAAAGCGACATGCGTGAGGAGGGACAATCTAGGGCTGGGCCACCACAGTGCCAGCTCAGCCCCAGCTGCAGAGCTCTAGGGCCAACCATCAGGTACACACTGAACTCCTGGCCTGTGGATCTCCATAGGTGTGTGCAAGCCGAATACCCAGATCCCAGTGGAGGACCTGCTGGAGGCTGTGAAGAGGTTTCAGAGGGCAGAAATAGAGGCAGAGCAAACGGAGGATGAATCTATCGACAGGCATGGCGCTGGGCGTCTGAGGGAGTATCAGGTATGGTTTAGCTCCTTTCCACCTGGCAGCACCCAGCCCTCACCCCTTCCTTGGGTATAGGATGCAGTTGGCCTTGGCCAGCCCCAGAACATGTGTTGCAGAGTGGGCTTGTCTTCCTCCTCTGCAGCAACTGTCCTCCACCTTGTTATATCCCTGCAATGCCGGGAAGGAGCTGTGTAATCAGAGCAAGAACCGCTACAAGAGCATCATCCCATGTAAGCAGAGCTCTGGAGGGCTTGGCACAGGTACCTGGAGGTGGTTGGGCAGTACGGGATGCTGGGCTGGTGTGCCCCTCCAGCTCTTCAGCCATGCTGAGCTCCTCATCTCACCCTCTCTGGCCACTGAAACCCAGAGGGATTTTCCAAAATCATTTTATATCCAGTTGAAGAATCCTCGTTCTGCTCCTCAAATCTCCCTGCAAGCTTAGTCGTTCATCACTGTGTTCCTGCTGCTAATTCTTGCTGAACTAGTCTTTGCCGAACGCTGCCATGTCCCATCCAGGGGTGGCTATTTGTGGGAAAGTGGTGGGAGTGACCCAACTTCTATCAAAACTCTGGTCCTCGCATGGTGTGGATATTTGGCCATTGCAGTAACAGTCTTGCCCCAAAACACGTATTTCCTGCTGTGCCATGTCACCTTTCATCTCATTAGCTGTTCTCTACCTCTGAACATGCCCTGAGGCCTGGAGTGCTACGGAGGAGGGAGTGGATGGACCCAGACTTTCCTAAATTACATCCCCCTCCTTAAATAGTCATTTCATTGCTGCCCCAAAGAGACGGTCCACCAACTCCCACCACCCTTCTCTTTCAGATGATCACTGCCGTGTGGTGCTGCAGCGCTCTGACACGGGGAACAGCTACATCAACGCCAGCTACGTGGATGTGGGTAGCGAGGAATTGCTGCCTTGGGCAGGGTAGAGGTGCCTGGGCAAGGCAGGAGAGGTGCTTGGCTGTGCTGGGTGAGGACTGTCCCGCTCGCATGGGCGTCCCTGAGGTCTGGCACTTGCTGCCCTCATGTGCTGGCAGATCTCGGGACATCACTTCCCTTCCTGAGCTGCCCCGAGTACCCTGGGTTGGCGTGCAGCGCTCATTAGCAAAAACGGACCTGCGAGGGGGGATGGGAGCTGAGGTACAGCCCCTGGGTAACCGCTCTCTGTGCTGGCCAGGAGTCATGCAGTGGGATGTGCTGTGCCAGGGTCTCTGGACCCTGGTGCCTGTGGGGATGGGTCCTTCATTTCACTCCCTGTAACACGTTTAACCCTTGTGATTTGAGCTGTTTGAACTTCTGCCCCACAGAGCTACCGGAGTCCACACTTCTTCATTGCAGCTCAAGGTGGGTGCTCCCAGCGCTCATGCTCAGGAGATGCTGTTCGCTGTCCTGAGCACTTTGGAGAGAGGGAACTGGGACAGCAGCCTGGGAGCTCCTAATGGCTCCATCCAAGGACCTGTGTCCCCTTGGCCTCTGTCCTGGATGGTGGTTATGGCTGTTGCAAGGCATGGAAGGCCCCAGTGGCAGTTTGGCAGTGGCCAGCTGGAGCTGGTCCCTGCATTGCTCGGCCTGAGGACATGGTCCTGTTTGTTCCCTTTGGTGGCTGGCACGACAGCGACACACCTGACATGTCTATACCCAGTGCACTCGTAGACAGGCTCCTCCTGGTGCAAAGTTGGGATGGGTTATTCTTCTCTGTCCATATGTGGTGAGGAGGTCTCTGGCTCCTGGCAAAGCTGCATTCATTCATGGAACACTCATTCTGAATGCTTCAGGAGATGGGACCCTAAATGTGGAAGCACCTCATGGTCATCTTGAAGGTCTGGATAGGGAAGCCCCTAAAGCAGCAGTGGATTCCTGATGTATCTGAGGTTCACCTGCGCTCCCCCTTCCTTGTCCCAGTTTCTAACATGGGTGGTGAAGCCCAGGCTGCCAGGTGCTGCTGTGCCCAGGCTGCGCAGTGTTAGTCCCAGGGCAGAGGGGAGCCCAGGGCTGCTCGTAGCCTGGGAATGTCTGACTTGTGCACAGGAGCAGTTAGGCTTTGGGGAGGGGAAAACTGGGAGAGCAGCCAAAGTCCCCATGGCTTGGGCACTGGCACAAGGCTTTCCCATTCCTCCCCAAGGCCCCTTGCCTGAGACGGTGGTGGATTTCTGGCAGATGGTTTGGCAGGAGAAGACCTCAGTCATTGTGATGCTGACGGGCTTAGTGGAGCAGAACAAGGTAGAGAAACCATCTCAGCCTGTGCTCAGCCTGGGATGCCCCAGAGCTCAAGCTTCCTTCCTTGCTTGGCTTCAGTTTGCTCCCAGTGCATCTGCCAGTGAGGGCAGGGAGCAGCTCCGTACCACTGTTGGCTTGCAATGCTTCCCCTCACGAGTTTGCTTATGCTTAGCGATCTCACTGCTGTTGACAGACCAAGTGTGAGCAGTATTGGCCAGAGCAGGAGCAGGTCTACGGGGACTTCACTGTGACACTCAACAACACCAGAACCACCACGGGCCTTGTCACTCGCATCTTCTGCCTGCAGAAGGTGAGCCTGGCGTGTACCTGAGATGGGGATGCAAGATGCTTTCGGGTTTCAGCAGCTAATGGGAGCTGTTGGCCAATAGACACTGTGGGGAGCCCCGTGTGGTCTCCATCACTAACAGGTCAGCGTTGCGATCAGTCGATGCCATGCCAGGGCATCGGACACAGGTTTCTGTGCCAGGCAAAGGCGTTTGGTCAGCTCCAGTGGTCACCCCAGCGGAGTCTGGGCTGATGATGTACATGGGCAGATAGTGCATACTTGAGGGCTTGGATGAGGTGATCACAAAGGGTAAAAAAGCAGTTGAAGGGTATAAAATAGCATATCTGTACATCCAGAATGATGGGACAGGTGCCTGGCTGTCCGCTCGGCCAATTTGCTACATCAAAGCTCCGTGGTCACTTACAGCTCCTAAACTTGAACAGATAGTTTGTGGTTTAAGACAACTTACATAATGACGTCTCTCAAGACGGGTATTTCTGCTGAAGTTTTATCTCAGATAATAAACAGGAACTGAAGGAGCTGCAAAGAGGGGAAACAGGTACAATATAAAGAAATTGCAGTTATGCATATCTTGTCTTTTCTTTTCATGCCCACAACAAAGTCTGGCTGAAAAGTCAAGCACCAAGAGCACCTGACAGTGGGACATAGCAGTTCATTAGTTCAAGCCAAGTGAATGTGATGTTTAGGGAAAAATACATGATGGGCTGGTAACAAAAGTGACTACATTCACATCAGTGCAGCACCAGCCTTAGGAAATGCCTTCTCGCACGAAGCCAGGGCTTTTTGATGACTACAGAAACACTATACACTGTGATTTTGGGTGTTATTTTCCTGTGGGACACAAGCTGCATTTACTGCTCCAAGTTCACTGTTGGCAGCATAGGGAAGCAGAGAACAAAATGAATTGTGTGGCTGTGTGCTGGGTGAATTTGCCTTTCGCTGTCTGATGAGCTATAGTGGAGCAGTGGTGGGGAACACTGTGTGCTGGTGCCCCCCTGAAGTGGTTTTCTCCACTGCTCCCTAATTATTGGCGTGCAATTATTTCCCGTAAGTTTCCAGGCTGGTTCCTGCTCCCTGCTCCCAGCCATGTCTCCCTCTTTGCAGGCAGGCTGTGGTCTCCCAAGAGTGGTGGAGCAGTTTCAATACCTGCTGTGGCCAGACCACGGGGTCCCCAGAAACCCTGCCCAGCTGCTGTGCTTAGTGGAGGTGGTGAACAAGCGGGGGGTGGAAGTGGCTGCTGGACCTGTGCTGGTGCACTGCAGGTACTGGCTAAGAGTACTTTGGGTGCTGGGGCAAGGCTGGCTGGGGCAGCACGGACACCCAGTTTTCTGTCCCCTCAGCGCAGGGGTTGGGCGCACGGGTACCTTCATCGCCCTTGACTTCCTCCTGAAGATGGCGAAGGCCGAGGGGAAAGTGGCTGTGTTTCACTGCGTGCAGAGGCTGCGGGAGCAGCGCGTCAGCATGGTGCAGACCAAGGTGAGGAGAGTTACCTGCTCTCTGCACGCTGTCAGGCGGCAGGTCTGCTTCCCACCCTTCCCAGGGATGTAGCAAAGAGACGCTGGCCATGCCCTTCATGGTCTAGCCACATGGAGCTGCCAGGTGATGGAGACTGCAGGTTTCTGTTTTCAATGCTGTCTCCAAACTTGGATCCATAGGCTGGATGAGGCTCTGAGCAACCTGGTCTAGTGGAAGGTGTCCCTGCCCATGGCAGGGGGGTTGGAACTAGATAGTCTTTAAGGTCCCTTCCAACCCAAACCATTCTATGATTTCACTGAGACCCTCTGAGGTGCCAGCAACGTTCATATGCACTAGTCATCCTGCTATAGAAGGCCTGTCTTGCAGGCAAGGAGCATGAATAAAAGTCCACACATCCTTCAGGCTTTCAGGCTGTCTGCCCTCGTGGCATCTTCTGGACAGCAGTGTGCTAGCCAAGGGACTGCATCCCCATGGTCTGCACAGTGCTGGGACCCTTTGGAGGAAATTAGGTTGGGCAGGACCATCCAGCTGCTTGTAGGAGGGGTAACTAGTGCACTGGTTTCCTGGATTACCTTCACTATAGCAGGGGTCTTGTCTGAGAGGGAGCATTAAACCACAGAAAGATGGTCTGGTCTGGGTTGCTGCAGTGCAGGGCTGCCTGCACTGAGAGGCGTCTGGCCTCAGGGCCCCACAGCAGGAAGGTGAAGGATGGACCTGGCTCATTCCTGGCACAGATCGATGCCATTGAGCTGGTGGTCTGGAGTCCCCTTGGTGGAGCTGCTCCAAGCCTGTGCAGCTGACTTGTGTCTTCATGCAGGAGCAGTACACCTTCCTGTACGAGGTGCTGCTGGAAGGCTTGCTCTGCGGCAACACCGGGGTCCCAGTGGAGAGCATTGCCAGCCACATTCACTGCCTTCGGGAAGCTGAGACCTCAAGGCACAACAGTGTCCTAGAGAAGGAGTTCAAGGTACTCCCAGGATCTGGTGCACTGGGCCAGGTGCTGCAGGGGCTGGTCTGCGGTGCCGCCCCGCTGCTGCTCCCCTCCAGAGCTGTGGGATGAAGATGGGGGAGCATTTCTGTGGGGTGGGTGAAGAAGGGGAGGTACTGACAGGCAGGACTTGCCTGCCTGAATTATCCCCACAGGCTCTGCAGAAGTTTACCGAGTTGTTCCAGCTCCTGCCATGCAGAGAAGCGGAGAAACCCAGCAACCAGCCCAAGAACCGCAAGACAGGGATCCTGCCAGGTACTGCTGGCAGGGCTGGGTAGCCCCTTACTCTGCGACCCAGAGCCTGAGAGCAGCGGGAGGGATGCTGTTGCCCTGCTGCTTCCCTCCCAGCACCCAGCTGGGAGGTTCTGCCCAAGGTCCAGTCATGGTCCCCCATCCCTGCTTCATCCTGGGGTTGCTGGAGGCATGCATCCATGGGGTACACCTGGGAGACACATGCCACTGGGTCTAATCTGTCCCCGAGGAGGAGACATGGGGTTGGTGGTGCCCACTCATCCAAGCCTCTCCAGCCTGTGCCACAGGGACCCCACCACTTGCAGGGAAAGCCCCATGCCACCGTGCAGGGAAACGACGGCTCACCATTTCCCTCTCCTCCTTGCCTCCGCAGTCCTGCCGGC